CCTCCCTTAAAACTTCGCCTGCGAGTTGTTGGGAACTTTAACGAGGAGAAATAATCGCGGTGAATCCCCTCCCTTTTGGTTTCTTTTCGCTTCCCAAAGGGGGAGGAACCGGGCACAGGCCTGGAGTGGGGGGGGGAAATGCTGCTTTTCCAGCTCTTTTCCCAGAGCAGAGGGTTTGGATTTCCCTTGGGAACTTCGTCAGGTCATTCCTGGACTCCTGTGGATCCTGAGGGATCAGGATGAGCCCTGGAGTCATTCCTGGAATCATTCCTGGACTCCTGTGGATCCTGAGGGATCAGGGTCAGCCCTGGAGTCATTCCTGGACTCCTGTGGATCCCCAGGGATCAGGATGAGCCCTGGAGTCATTCCTGGACTCCTGTGGATCCTGAGGGATCAGGATGAGCCCTGGAGTCATTCCTGGAATCATTCCTGGTCTCCTGTGGATCCTGAGGGATCAGGGTCAGCCCTGGAGTCATTCCTGGAGTCATTCCTGGAGTCATTCCTGGAGTCATTCCTCCCAGCTTGTTTCCAGCCAGGCTTTGGAGAAGCACCTGGAAAACAGGGAATTTGCCTGAATAAAACAGGTGTGGGAATGTGGCACCTTGGGATCCACGGGAGGAGGAGGAGGAAAATTCCCAGGCTGGAATGCTCCAGGGGTTTGGAATGCTTGGGAAGCTGGCATGGAAGGGTTTGCTCAGGGGTCAGAATCCAACCCCAGGAAGAGGGAAAAGGCTGGATGTGTTTGGGATTTGGGATTTGGGATTTGGGAAGGGCTTCCTTGGCCAATCCACCCCTTTTCCAGAGGGCTGGGACACTCCTCCCTCTCTCTGGGAGAGCTTTGAGGAGTTTTTTTTTTTAAAATCTCTTTTCATTTCTATGTAAATCCCTGGATTTGCCTCCTTCCCACGTGGAGGAGGAAGGAATGAAGGAAGTGCTGGGAATGCCAGGCTGGGGCTTCCCCTTTTCCCAGCAGGACACTGGAGCAGCTCGTTAATTATTAAAACAACCGATCATTTATTCACAATTACTAGAATTATTAAGAGTTGCTGTGGATACACAGGATTAGGGAATTAGGGGTGTCTCCCCTTGGCCTTGGAATTCCTCCTTCTCCTCCTGCATTTCTTGCAACGTGGCTTGTCTTTTATCCCAAGAATGTTTTATCCCAATTCTGTTTTATTCCCATTCTCTTTTATCCCAGTTCTGTTTTATCCCAATCCCATTTTATCCCAATTCTCTTTTATCCCAATTATTATTATTCCATAATAATAATAATAATATCAATTCAATAATAACAACAATAATTCCATAAGAATGAGAATAATTCCATAATAACAATTCCATAATAATAATAACATCAATTCCATAATAACAACAAGAATTCCATAAGAATGAGAACAATTCCATAATAGCAATTCCATAATAATAATAACATCAATTCCATAATAACAACAATAATTCCATAAGAAAGAGAATAATTCCATAATAGCAATTCCATAATAATAATAATAATAACACAAATTCCATAATAACAACAATAATTCCATAAGAAAGAGAATAATTCCATAATAGCAATTCCATAATAATAATAATAATAATATCAATTCCATAATAATAATAATAATAACACAAATTCCATAATAACAACAAGAATTCCATAAGAATGAGAACAATTCCAAAATAACAATTCCAAAATGACAATTCCAAAATAACAATTCCAAAATGACAATTCCAAAATAACAATTCCATGATAACAATTCCAAGCATCAATTCCATAACAACAGCAATAATTCCACTTCCCAGCCATTCCAGGCTTGGAAAGCCCTGGCTGGAGCCCCACAGATGCCAAATATTCCCATTTTCCCTGGGTTTCCCATCCCCCTGGGAATGTCCGTGTGACGATTCCCCACCTCCGGCTCCGCTCCCGCCCCAAATCCCGCCGGAGAATCCCAGGGTTTTTTTGGGAATTCCTTTAAAAACCAGGTGGGTTCTCCTGGAAAACCCCCCCCATCCCTCGGCTGGAAGGGTCTTTGGGACGCAGGAATAACAAATATTCGGGGAATGTGGGATTGGAGGGATTGGAGGGATTGGTGGGATTGGTGGGACTTGTGGGAATGGTGGGATTGGTGGGATCGGTGGGATTGGTGGGATCTGTGGGATTTGTGGGATTTGTGGGAATGGCAGGAGCGCAGGAAAACCCCTGGAGGGGGAGGGGGAAGGTGCTTTTTCCCAGCTGAACTTTGCTCCCCTCGGGCTTGGAAAGCAAGAGGAGAACCGGGAGCTGACCTTGGGAATATTCAGGGAGGAAAACCCCCCTGTTTTCCTCACTGCTTTTTCCTTGGAAAAATCAACAGATAAAGCCTTAAATGAACTTGGGAAAGGCTTTTTATGTCCTCCAGTCCCGGGATCCCAGAGGATCCGGGGAGGCTGGAATGACGTGGGATGGGATTTTATCTTAAAAAGGAGGAGCTGCACTGATTTATCCCTGCTGGTTTTTCCCTGGAGAATCATTCCATAATAATAATGATAATGATTCATTAATAATAGTAATAACAGTAAAAAAAGTAAAAACCTCCCCTTCC